GTCTGTCTCTGGCTGCGCTCTGTCAGCTTTAAAAAGGTTGCCTTTCATGAGGAACAGATCCAAGGACAAAGACAAGGCCAAGGCCATCTACCGGCGCTCCATGTGTAAGACCTCCGTTAGCCGCCATGCTAGCCTCCCCCCCCCGCCTCCTCCTCTCCCTGTCATCGTCACACAAGGAGAAACAAAGAGGACCGGTCACTGATCTCGCCGTGTCTGCAGTGTGGGGGTGTGGCTGTTTCAAACCTCCACTCAGGATTACCTCACATTTAAATTCATCTGATGTCTTTGAGAGATGTCTGACAAAGGTTTATTGAAGTTGGGTTGTATACTAATCGTCACCCCACGCTGCGTTTGGTGACATCAGTGACTCGTTCTTTTTTCCTCCAACCTCAACCCCACCCCCTCCTCCTCCAACCTTCTCCTGCCGCCTCCACCTCCTCCTGTAGAGTATATCTACTCTGTTATCTGCGTTCACCAGTGTCACTTTACACAAACTTCACCAACTGAGTGTGAAAACAAAGATTTAGGGTTAGTCTCACAAACAAACAGCATCATGAGTGAATTCTGTCTGTCGGTGTTTCTTACAGTTTGATTTTCATCTCTCGTAGTTCTGAGCCTCGGCTGCCAAAGCTTATGTTTCAGGGGAATTACTTTGCGGCGGGCAACTTATCGGGCAGCTTTGTCTTGTGCTCTTGTGGTTTCTTTTTGTTTTATGTATACCGAATGAAAGGCTGTGTGTGTGTGTGTGTGTTCAGAAACGTGACTGGGGGTTTGCCTTTCATGTGCCTGTGCTGTGTTCGCTTCCATCTTTGATTACAGCATGACTCTTAAAAAGATAATCCACCAACTGCCTGATCACCGCCGCTCACACTCACCATGGAGGACTTGAAATGGAGCCTCTCTGTCTCTCTATCTCTCTCTCTCTCTCTTTCTCTTGCTCTCTCTCTCTGCGTGCTGCATTTCAGATCTTATTCTGCTGACATGGACTCTCTGAGATTCTTTTATGTACGGTGCCGCAGCTCGGAGCAGCCCTGCACGTTTTCATGCGTCTCTACCATCACATACAGCTCAGTAAACAAAGTGCATAAAGACAACAGCCTTTAAATGTGACAAATCACCCGTCCAAGAAAAAAGTATCTGGCTGAGATGGTGCAGGAAAGAAAAAAGAAAAACCATGTGGCTGCCATCTTTATGCACTGTGCACATTTGATTAGTTTATTTTTTGATGATGCATGTGCCGTGCATTCTGAAATTTGATGTTGCATTCTTCAAGATTAATTTATAATGAAGTATCAAGATAATAACCTCATACACATGAAGACACTGTGAACAAGATAAAGCTTGGAAACCTCCAGCTGAATAGATTTTCACCAAACTGTCTGCAGGACATAGGAAACCGTAGATTTCGTTTGAGCCATTTTGCATCCCCAAGTCACCATGTCCCACGAAGGGGATGCAAAATGACTCGGACATCACATTATAGAAAATAGTTTAATTTGGCTTTAAAAGCTGGGACATTACTTTAATGGAGATAAGTATAACTTGATTCTCTCCGCCCGTTCAGCCATGAATGACCTGCTGCAGACCATGGCGGTGGCCGGTGGCCCCGGGGCCCAGTGGGCGGGCAGTATTGAGAATCTTGACGGCGCTGAGGCCGGAGATGGCGGCATGACGGGGAGCAGCAGGCGTGGCGGGCAGCGCATGAAGGAGCTCGCCTTTTCCACCAACGCCATCGACTGTGCGGCACTCACCCTGCCCAGTGCGGGACGCAGCAGGGCCAAGCTCCGGCTTCAGGTCAAAGGTCAGGATGCTGCTATCATAAGGTGTAAGAATAGATCTTTAGGTACGTTTAGGATGAATTGTTCCCCGGTAAACATCCATATATGGTGGACGACAAATTCTTATGAAAGTGGTGAAATTGTTTTGGACCAGAGTGGAAACCAGCAGATGTATCATCACTCGTCTGTGTTTCAGCAGATAATGCCTCCTGCGAGGATGTTACCGGCTCCACCGACGACCCCAAGAGTCAAGGTAAGACTCAACATCAAACTGTCAAATGAAAAGGAAAAGCCGGGAGTCTGAGGGGACCTTTTAAAACCAGGAATGTGAAAAGACTTGAAGAGCTCCTGAAATAAAAAAGCAGGTCATGTCCCTGGTAGTGCTAATCTGTGGGCTGCGCTCCCACTCTTCAATTAAAACCTGATCTACAGCTGGAAAAGCAATTTTTAGTGGAGAGCAAAAGAGCGAGGGAGAGATCAGCCTCCAGTGGAAGTAGGATTGACTCCATTCCAGGCTTGAGGGTGTTATCCAGGGCCGTTAATCTCTGGTCAGGCAACTATTCATCTGTGCTGCTTTAATGTCGATGACCCAGTTGTTAAACTGCCACAAAACTACTGACACACATTCCTGGCACTTGAGCTCAGTCTGCACCCTAATGCCATCGCTTCTCTTTCTTTTAAACTATTTTTTTTATAAGTTTCAATTTTTCCCATCTACTTCAACCATTAAACCTGCATAGTCCCATATGATCGTGACTTCGGCTCCGCAGGGAATTGTTGGAGCATTAGTGCCCAACCTGGATGCTACTTAGCTGATGATTTCCCAGAATGCACTCATAAAATCCAATACTGCCAGACACATTGTTCCGGTACATCTCTGTAATGGCTGGAGGAAACTTCCCTCGACTCTCACACGCCGGACATTACTAATAATGAGTCTGCCATTACCTCATCCACTACAGATGGTAATATACGCAAAGTCATCAGAGCACCACTATGTAACTTTTACTTGGCAACAGCGCCCCCTGCACATGGTGATTAATTCTGCGCAGCTGAACAGTGGATATTACCCATGATTCCCAGCTTCCTGAACCAGGAGAGTTGCCGTTGAGACAATCCGCCAAACTCTGTCTAGGATTCTTCATATTTTAAAAGTTTTGTCTTTGAATATTGGAGATAAACGCTGGTTTTGAATGAACTCTTAAGTCTTTTTTTTATTGACAATTGAATTTTTTCTTTCAAATGAATATTAAACTTTGCTTGTTTTGGATTGGCACCATTAATAGCATCCAAAGCACTCTACTGAAAGCTATTCTACTTCATGCATCTGTGTGTGTGTGTGTCTTATCAGGCCTGCGGGTGTATAGCAGTGCTTTGGCTCTGTATCCTTCCCCTGTGGAGCGTTAGGTACAGAGCGCCCTGTAGCATCTGTAGTAAGGGACAACGTCTTGGCACTGAATCCACACTGAGCCACAGACAGCGGGGTGGTTTGATACCAATCAGTCATGTGAAGGCTCATTTTAAAATCGTAATTTGCTGTCGCTCATGTCCTGAAAAGCAGTTTTTCTCTGGTTTCCTCTCTACAAACACAGGAAAGAGCAAAGTCACCTCCTTTTCTTTCCTCTCACTTTCTACTTCTTCTCCTCACACTCTGTTTCACACAAGACATCCCATTTCTTCTTTTATTACTAATGATCTCCATCAGCAGTTATTCAGCACCAGATCTATCAGTTCTCCTTCTCCCTGGATTATGGCGTCCTGTTCCTCTCCGTCAGTAGCTTGAGTTCTGACCTCTTGTGGATGCAGCCTGGCACTCGGCCACCCTTCTTGTCCCTGCGCCTGGCATCTGCCATCTGCTGCCCCAGCAGGAGACGTATCTCAAACTGCCGGCTCGTGTCTACGTGTTACTCTTTGTGTTGGTGCATGTTGTAGACAATACATGTTTGTGTATGTGAAAGCTAACCATGTGTGCGTGCGCATGTGTCTTCCCTCTTATCCCTCACCCAGCCACCACCAGACCCTCCAGTCTCCATAGCAACAGGACCACCAGTAGTAATAGTAACAATAACTCCCACCTCGCTTCTCCTCTAGAGGGCAAAGGTACGCACCACCTTCCCTTGATCCCCCTCCTCCACCTCTCAACCTCTCTTTCTATCCTCTTTTACTCCCTTTGTCTTTTTCTTAAATGTCTTTATTTATGTCTCCATGGTTAAAAAGTCGAAAAAAGGAATTACTTGACAGCAAAATTATGTTGGATGTTATTAGATGTGAGGCTTTATTTTTCCTTTTAACATTACTTCACATATTGGGTAAATGTATATACTATAGCAAATAATAAATGTCTCCTTGGTGTAATGATGCCTCCCGTCCCCACAGGCACGTTGAACGGCAGCCTCAGCCGCCCTCACAGCGAGAGCAGCGGTGAGTTCAGCCTGAGCTTAGACCAGGAGGTGTGGTCGAGCAGCGGCAGCAGCCCCGTCCAGCAGCCCACCTCCTCACGCTCCTCCCACCAGAGCCCCCTGCAGCTGCGCAGGTCACTCGACCCGACCACTGCCGCAGGAAGCCCCGGCCAAACCCAGATCAGGAAGACGGGATCCCCGAGCAACGAGGTGCTCTCTCTGCAACAGTTCCTGGACGAGAGCATTGATCCTGCAGAGGTGAGGCATCTAACTCAATTTTAACTTTCTGTTCGATTAAAACTTGCTGATAAAGAAGCTTTTATGAAAACAAATTCAAAGATATTCTCAGCTATGACCAGGCTGGTTTGCAGAGAGAGAGAATTTAGCAGCAGATTTTAAGAGTAAAATTAATGAATATATACTTTTGTATTCAACAAAAACTACCTTTGATAGAGCTCATCAATGTTTTGATGATATTGTACATATATATTATTGCTCTGTCTTTACAGTCTGGCAGCCAGGAGAACCTCACTTTCGACTCTCCTTGCCTCTCCACATCCTCTGAGCACGTGCAGAAGGAACGCACTACCACAAAGGGCCGCGGCATATTACGCTCAGCCAGCGGCAGAGCGGCGCCGGTCAGCTCCGAACGCCCGCCCAGATCCTCGGCACAGCCAGGGCGCCCCAGCCTGCGGAAGGCGGAGAGCACCCGCATCAGAGGCTCCGTCCCAATGCGCTCCAGCCTCTCCTCGCAGGGGAAAGCCACGTCCTTCTCTGAGCGCCTGGACTCGGCCTCCTCCACGCTGCCCCGTGCCAGCAGCGTCATTTCCACGGCCGAAGGAACCACGCGGCGCACCAGCATCCATGACCTGCTCTCGAAGGACAACCGGCAGCCTGTGTCGGTCGACTCTTCTCCTCCAGTCGCCTCCACCAAGGCTGGGGTGCGCTCCACGCCTACAGCCAGTGAGTACCGCTCCAACCTAAAGGGACCCCTCATCACCACCGCCCCTCTGCCCAAGTCCCTCAGCTTACCCTGCCATAGCTTGGAGGACCCTGACCTCTCCACCCTCGAGTCCTTCCTCGGCCCTTCCTTCACTGTAGAGTCCGTGTTCATGGACTCCATTTTTAGCGAGTCAGGGGGCAAAAACCTCCCCTTCCTGTCTCTAAACCCCACCCTAGTTAGCAATATCAGCGGGCCGCCTGTTACAAATAAACCCCCTCCTGTCGCACCCGTCCCAAACCACATTTCCACCCAAAACCAGAACCCTCCCTGCCAATCTAACGGCCAAATGAGATCCGGCCCGGCCAGCCTGGAAGCGTATAACGAGGGCGTCGACCCCAGTCGGGCGAATAATTCGGACCAGTCCCTGAACCCAGAGGACAACCAGTCCCTGTGGTACGAGTATGGGTGTGTGTGAAGGACGAGGAGGGTCCGGCTCACTGATCTAACCTAAAGAACTGACGGACAAACGACAAATCCTCCTCCTCTGCATGTATTTGTCGGAGCACTGTCTATCTCTGTGTGGTGGATTGGTTTCCATGGTGCTGACTGGTGATTTGTTTTGTTTTTATTTTATTTTTGTCACCTCCTCCTTATTTCTGTCCCGTTGTGTTTCGGACTTTGAACGTCCCTCCGTCCAACAGCCTTCGCCATGTCGTCCTCATCGAATCTGTGTCACTGGCTAACAACATACATCATCTGCTTTAGTGGGATCGATTCATATTTCTGTTTAGAGCTTGAATGGTGAATTATCCTCAAGCAGACTTGTTGGAGACTCAGCCCAAAAATGAACCAGTTAAAACACCAAAGCATTGCATTGTGGGACAGATGATAGATTCACTTGTGGTTTTTATCATGTTTCATGGGAGAGGTTTTTTTTTGTGTTTCACTTAACTGCATGGCTTCAGTCTGTCTCTGTAATTTTGATTCCTGTGATCAAAATGTTCTTTTTGTTTCCTTTGAGTGTGTACTGTGTTTTGTTTTGTACATTTTTCTGTATTTTCTTTTGCATATATTAACTGGAGACCTTTTGGACAATGGGCTTCGACCTGGTCGACTTTGTGGGCTGGTGACAAAATGATGCAGCTTCATTCTCAGAGGGATCTGAGCGGAGGATTGAGTTGGTTCAGTGAAAGTTGACAGTGACGGTAGAGGAACACGACGAGAGCGATTATTATGTTTTAGGCACTTTTTGACAGAGTTACAGACAGAGGGAGTCGTAGGTTGAGAACAGTTTGCATTTATCTGATCGTTGTGGGAATGAAGCTAACATCATTTCTTTTGGTATCTGGAAACTTTAAACATCCCGACGCACCACACTAGAGAATGGATAATATTGATTATGTATTTTCAATTGATAAGATCTTGTACAGATTGTTTTAAGTTATAATCAAAGACGAGCACTGCGTAAAGTGCTGATACTAGTGGAACCGTCTGCGTCTAGATCCTTATTTATTTCTGCTTTTTTTTTAAATTGTGTTTTATTTCTCGCTCTGCAGTGGCCGTTCTGAAGTTGCATGATTGTATTTATCTTGATCCAGAGTTCACGCTGGTGTAAAGAAGATGAAAATGTTTTGCTCACTGTCCACAGATGTAACATGAACATTGCCTTTGTCCTACAGATGAGGAGGGCAGAAAGTCTAAAAGCAGGAGCGGGGAGCAAAGCTGCTAAACCCTGCCCCCCCCCACACCCTGGTCTGTCTGGTACCGTGCTGTGAGCGCGTGGTGAGTGAGCGCTGCTCGAGCGGGACGAATAAGGGGCTGTGGTGGTGGTGGTGGGTGGATGGGGTTGGGGGGGGGGGGGCAGCCTTGTCTCCATGGGAACCTAAAACATGGTGTAACAGATGTCGTCCATCATGCCGTGCACTTGCCTCCCCTGCTTCTCTAAGCTGTCCCTCCCCCACCCCGACCCCTCTCTGTCCCGTCCCACGGTCCCTGTGCTGCCAAACGCCTGCACAGAGCCTGACGGGACCCGGTCTGCATGGCATGTGGGCCGATTTCACCACGCTGCTCTGAGTGAATGAACGTTTGTGCTCCCAGATCCCCCAGAAAGAGGAGTCCCATGACTCCAGCAGCACCGTATCCCTCCTCCCTGAAGCTTTTTGTTAAATGTGTCCCACTGCTAAAGAAAACTAGTCCAGTATTGTTGCTGCATGGCTTTGGTGTAGCGCTGAAATCCTTCCTCCCTTGACACTGCATGTAGACCCAGGCTGGCTGCTGTCTCCTCTTGTTCGTCACTAACCATCTTAACTGAAACAATTTCTGACTTTTAACCTTCTTCTTTCTCTGTTTTTTTACTTCTTCTTTCTATTTTTCCTCCTCCTCCTCTTCTTCACTTTTCTGATCTGTCTCCTTTGTCTTTCTTCTCGGACTCTTTCCACTCCTCTTTGCTTGCCTGGGACTCAGAGAGAGAGGTGGCCTTGGAGCTGTGTGTCTGAAGCCTAGTAGAGTTAATCTGCTGAGACCGTCTACAGTGAGAAAAGATTGTATGTCCCAGTTTGTTTTTTTTTTTAAACCCAGGACCCTTCAGTAGAGAAAAGTAACCCCCAGCTCTGTTTTGTTTTTCTTCCTTGAATCAAGGAAACAACAGAAAAATACTAGAAAATGTTGCGGTGACAGTTTTTTTCGTTTGAAGTCTGCTGTGGCAGATTGCACTGCCACGTGTCGGACTCTGAGATGTGCACTAGACTCTGTGGACTATGATTAAAGTGCCAATGTTCACTCGACAGCCAAAAGGGCGATCTTAACAAACCAGACTGATGTTGGACCTTCTGTGACAGCCGGACCTTCTTCTGCCCGATGCCATGATAATTGAAACAAATACTGTTTTTTTCCCAAACGGGCGGCACAAAACTCATCACTTAGTCTGGATCTTACAAACCATCTTCACCGCATGACAGCACAAACATTTCAGACTCAATCTGCCAATCATCAGACTGATGAATCACAATCTGCATGGAGCAATCAATCAATCCATCAATCAGCCAATCATCCCACTTCCTTTGTCCGGTCAAAGGTTTGAGTCCAGTGGGGATTTTTACTCGCCAGGATGCCAAAGGGACTGGAAGCCATGGCAGCTGTGTGATTGGCGTGTGCTGCCAATGAAGGTTGTGTGATCTGAGAGAGACTTTTGGGGGAATGTTCCAGGTCACCTATACGACAGAGAAACACCCTGAAACGCACCCTACATCTTAGCTTAAATTATATATATATATATCATCATACAGTAGCTCGTGGATCTAATCACACCACATCATGTCGTCTATCGCTTCCTATCCTGCTCTGACAGTAAAAATAAAGACAGTTAAAGCACACTGACGGTTCATAAACACCATAACATCTCGTGACGACTCTGCGAAGTACCGTTCATAAAGGAGGACTGGACTGTAGGTGACCTGTAACTTGCCCGGTGCATTTCCAGAATGTGTGCACATTTCTGTTGCTGTGATGTTGAACATGATGATGAGACCCAGTGTTTTTCTCCTTTTCCACTTTTACATAAACCCATTTGATGTAATTAAAACTCATCAAGACGAATGTGTGCCGTGTGTTTTATGGAAAGTATCAAAGGACATTTACTCAGGTGCAGTACTTCAGTACAGCTTTGAGGTACTTCAAGTATATTCATTTTATGTAATTTTCTACTCCAGTACATTTCACACTAAGTACTCCACTTTAAATTTCAAGGTTCAAAAACTACTTAGCTCAGCTCTACCTCATTCAACTACCATATAAAAGGGCTGGCAACATAATTATGCGTCAATAGAAATCCCTGACAGAGCAATTTAATCATTTCTAAGTAGTTCATTTTGGGCACATTTACCTTTTTTACTTTGTTTTATAGCTGCAAATACTTTGCGTTGAATGTATTTACAGAGGTGTTTATAATATTTTGTCCTCCTCCTTCACATCAGTGATGGTAGACTGAGTACCAGAAACACGTCTATCAAATATTTGATTTGTGTTTCAAATATTTTCTCGTCATGTGTGAAAATGGGACAAAACATTCTGCTTAATGTCGAGTGTTTCAAAACTATGAGCTTCCATTACACCACAGTCGAGAAGCTAAATCCTATTCTTCTATTCGGTGCATTTTTCTTCTCCTTGGCAAAAACTTGGCCTACATTACCCACAATGCAGCTCGACCACAGACAGCTCTGGAGAGGATTCTGCCATAAACGTCTGGTAAGTTCAGTTTTTGCTGTTGTATGAAAAAACATGCAATCAGCAACATTTGTGAATTAAGCTACAACAATAAAGAACTGGACCCAATATTTATATTTTTATTAAGCATAATTTCAGTTTTCTCACAATAATATAAAGAAGAACAAACAAACACTTGATTGTTTTAAACGTATAATTTTTATTAACTGTTTGGTCATGCAAAAATCCAGCATCCAATTGAAACTCAGAGTATAGATGTATGTAGCCCCTTTAGTATCAGGTTACAATACAATAAACTTACTTACAGAGGGTTAGGGTTTACGAGCTAAGGCTTCTCTAATCTTTTATGCATTTTAATGTGAGACAACATCACTTGATTTCAATACCTCAGACGGACCCATTTCATAACCTGGAGGATGCAAGTAACATAGATTTTAATTTCTTTATCAAGTAAACAGTGAAAAAAATGACCAGAAAGTAGACATGCATACTTCTTCCATTTGTAAAAATGCATATATAGTGCGGCTGCTGAAGATTGTGGTGGTTTAAATTTTCCCCTTTCAACATTTGTTTTGAGCATTTTCAAGAATCTTTTTGTTCCCTCACTTCAGACACACGTACTGTTTTCATCTGACATTTATTTCATATTTGCCAAAGTATCTGAACTCGGTTTGTTTAAACATTTGCATGTTTGAAAGTAAAATGTATATGAAGAACAGAGGACGAGCTGCTTTAGCTGCGGCCAATAATCTTTGTCTTCTCATAATATAAATCTCAGCAGCTGAAACAAGGAGTTTATTCTGTCCTACTTCAGGCAATTTATGAGACAATTACTGTACGAAATTAATGTTCAGAATTTATGTAATTTCAATTTTAAAAACTTTTTTCAGAGTTCAAAAATTCAGATTTAACAAGAAATAATGTCCAAAACAAAAAACTGTAAATTCAGATTATTAGAGATTAAAGATTATACAAAAACCTGACAATCACTCATATTACATGGGTCATTTTTTAATCTTAAATTGTAAAAATCTTATACATGAAAATATTAATTGACCAGTTGCCAATTCTTCAGATTCAAATTGTCTTCTCAGGAAAAATGTAGTTGTTAATATCAATGATGGTTCAGGTCCATTAAGGGACCCTGGTTCTGGAGAACGTCTTCATACTGTTCAAACAACTTGATAAAACCATCCAAATACTTTGGCAAACCGATGACACAGCCAGTTCTAGACAACAGGTTAAGTTGAGCTGTAATCTAAACATTCCCATGACTGCGTGACAACACACACACACACGGAAAAGAAAAGCATCTCACCAGATCGGTGGCATCAACAGACAATAGGCCCAGAGCCCACAGCACAAACAGAACCAGAGCCATAAAAACACACATCACATCATCTCAGTACTGATTTTAAAACGCTTTGTTGTCATGGTGCAAAAAGTGTTGGGGGGGGGGGCCACAGTTTTAATGGCGTGTCAGATATGTCACAACACTCAGAGAGAAGATACAGCAGGACGATGCACACACACGATTTACGACAGCGTTAAAATCTGCTGGACTACGTCAGTGCACACACAGAGACGTGACATGTGGTGACGTGAAGCATCGTTGTGGTTTCTGACCATCGGACACCTCGGTGCGTGAGTTACTATGGAGACGGGACACACGGCAGGCCTCGTCCCTGCGCTGGCACAAAGTCACACGCTCACAAAGTTTCTACGACAAGGTTAAAGAAAAACAGTCTGACCACTGACACAGAGACGTGTTCTGTCCTCAGAGCGAGAATCTTTGCTCTCATGTGCTTTTGTAATGACGTGTTTCAATAGGATTAACCACACAAGTGTACCAAGTGTTTTTGCCCCAAGGTTTCAGCATCAACAGGTAGAGTAAAAAAAAAAAGAAAAAGGGGGTTGATCTTCACTTCAACCCCCAATTTTTTATAGTTGTAGCTAAAACAAGTGATAAAAATATCAACATCAAAACAGTAACAACTACAACTTTTACAACAGAAACTGACAAAAGGGACCAAATCCACTGATTGCCATGAGCGAAGGTCCCACGACCCTCGAGCCGACGTAGCCCTCTTTCCCTTTACGCCTTTATCATGCTTTTAAAAATGCCGGGACTTCACACAGAAGAACAGCAAGTCAGGACGGACGATATACAAACCTTAAGAACACAATCGAAACAAGAGACAGGCATAAGGGTGACATCATCATCGCCGTCACACAGAGGGGAGCGATGGGACTAAGAAGACAACAGGGCCGGAGGGTGAAGGTCACAGGGGTGACACGTGCCGAGTGTAAGAGGCGGGAATGATGGAAGCAGACGGGTGGAGGGGGGGGACGTTTTCTGGCGAGCGGAACCTGGAGTTGCAGAAAGGTTCGCTCCCTCAGACGAGGAAACACAACAGCATCGAGTCTCTAAGTGTCTGTGCAGAAACAGTTCAGGCCGTTAGTTCAGACATAAGTCATGCTTCACACCAAACAACACATTTAAACACGTACAACTAAGACGGTGGCGTTGCTGTGTGAGTGTCCGTGCCGTGAGGCGCTTTAGGATTTGGCGCCACCAAGTGTAGACTGCAACTTCAGGATGAGCTGGCCTGGACGAGGCTCAACCCAAAAGCCTGAAGCACAGGGTTAATTAGTGTGTGCCTGTGTGTGCCTGTGTGTGTGTGTGTGTGTGTGTGTGTGTGTGCCTGTGTGTGTGCGTGTGTGTGTGTGTGTGCCTGTGTGTGTGCGTGTGTGTGTGTATTTACACCCCAGGACCTCAAAGCAGAAAAAACCCCTCCATCACTCCACTCCTCCCTGCACCATGTACATAAATCACGTTTCCCTCTCTCTCTGATATAAATATCTATTTATACACAACTCTATTAAATAAAATCCCTGTTTTTGATTAAAAATGATCCTTTTTTTTTTCCAACACAAAATACTTTAAAATTCATAAGTCAGACGATAAAAATCAAACAGTTTAATGACACAATACAAAACGTCCAAATAAGAACAAAGGTCCCTTCAGTAACATCGCCTCAGCCCCTTTTATAACCTTGTGTCAAACCCGACACTTGAAATGGGTGTTACATTTTAATATTAAGATTCCCTCGTTTCCATAAACCCCACCACACACACGCCCATTAACTGCAAAACAAAACAACACTTCTATTAAAGTCGACACTCGGCTGCTCCCTCCAGACACAAACAAATCCACTTTTTATTCTTGACCACCCCTCAGTCCTATTCGCTCTGTACGTGACGTGTATGTCTGTATAAAGAACTTTTTTAAAAACATTTTAATGCTTTTCCAGACAGCAGACAGAACAAAGAGGGGGAAATAAAGGCCATGGGAGAAAAGGGGCAGGACAGAACCACCCGTGTTGCCACCAGAAACATGCACCACCTGCAAGAAGGGGCCGACGTCAGCCGGGCCCCAGCCTCATCTAACTAGGGTTTGGACTGGATTGGTGTTGGTCGGTCGTTCAGTCAAGCTTTTGATATATATACTTGTTTTTGCTTTTTTTTGGTTTGGTTTATTTTTCTGGTAATATATTTTCCCCTCTTTTGTGTGTTTTTTTTTTTTTTACAACTTTCCAAGCAGCCTCTTCCCGGCCAGGATCCAGGTACCGATCCGGCCACGGAGAATAAATGCTCCAAACAGCTTTAGAGTTCAGGCAAAGCTGCGGGAGGAGAGAAGAAGATTTCAATTATAAGAGTGTAAACATTGTCTGAGGGGTCAGTTCACCCACATGATGGTTGTAGCATCGCTGATACGTTTGGGTTGTAAATAAACTCATTTAGAAAAGACAGAAAACCACATATATTACAAAATTGTACAATCACATAGCTTTTATCTTTATATTGCAATTTAACTATATAAACGGACTATATACAAAACTACCTCAAGGGGACACATGAGGTTAGAAGCCAACAGACGTCATGTTACTGTAAACTGAACCATCACGAGGACAATTTCATTCTCTTTGTATTGAGCTGGTGGCAGAAATCTCAGCAACTGATCTTTAAAAACCCAAACTATCTCCATGGGTAGATCCCAGAATCCATGTTTCTTGGAATTTGGCTGAACTGACCCTTTATTGTGCATTATTCAATGTTTTCTCCACATCAAAGTTTACAGTTTGGAAAATATAGTTATTGGCTTTCATGAGAGGTATCGATGTCAACTTAACCGGCGTCTGGATCTGGATGTACAGGATAATGTTTGTGGGAATTCTTTCTGTCAGAGCCTCCAGTAAATTTGAGACTTTTCTGTTGTCTTAGTTTTAATACAGACACTCACTCATCAGGAGCCCTGCAGCAGGGACTAACCCCGAGAGAGGAGGGGGAGAAAAACAATAAAGCTTCTCTGTCTTAAGGCAACAAGCTGCATATTGTTTTTAAGAGAAAATCCTGCACAATAAAAACCTTCAAAGGAACCAAATAACCTTTGCAAAGTGTTTTTACAGTCTGTCGTAACCCGAGCACGCAGCATAAAACCATTACTGCACCCTTCAGACAATAACAGGAACATTACAGTGATGTATCATCATAGTACCTGGGCCTGGGTTGTCGGTTCACTGCAGCGGTGCCGCCGGTGCTCCTGAGCAGTGAAAGTGCACATTGAGCCATTTGGCATCGCGGCGATGCCACACGCGTGTTTCCTCCGACTGGCAGGAGCGCGGCCGGCCCTGGCTGTCCATGTACTGCGTCAGGCGGATGTAGGCGATGCAGGCGGCGTCCTCTCCGATCAGATGCACGTGGGGGTTGAGGATGGTGGTGTGCACCGGCTTGCTGTTTTTACTCAGAACTGTGGGGACGGAGTTCAGATGTTTGATTTATCTGGTGTCAGGGAGCATTTAACATTTAACACGTCCTAATAACTGAGAAGCACATAGATGTTGGTTGTGTCTGTTGATGTATTATGTTATAATGAACTGTGGGAAATTCCCTGTGATTATTACTGAACTGTTATATCCATCACACACACACATTGTCGTTGGACACATCTGTAAATTCAGGCTGGGTACAGATACGTATAAATACCAGGCGTGAACAGACAAATTAAACACTGTCCCATTGTGATCGGATCTCTTAGGCCTCTGATGACCCACAAAACAGACCGACACTGAACGTACGATTCTCAAAGTAGAACTTGTGAAAGTCCATTCCCTCCACCAGGTTTCCGAGAGCTTCAGGCTCAAAGGACGTGAGTCCAGGGTCACAGATTCTCCTGTCGGAACAAGAACGATCATGAGGTTCCTGTGATTTGAACTTTTCAAAGTAATGCTGATTTTACAAGAATTGTAAACAAGTCACTCAAAAGACAACACGTCCACAGACTTTTATGTGAGTGGAATTTTCAAACTCACGTGTAAGCCTCAAAATCCCCGTTGTTGATGGCTTCAATCAGCTGCTCTGTCATCTTTATTATCTCCTGTTTACGAGCTGGAAGAAGTGAGATAGAAAGACAGATGAGGGAGGAGGGCAGGAGACAACTGTTTGGGAGTGTGAAGATGCAAGTATCGCTCCTCCTGCTCCTCATTTCACTGAGTCACTGCCTGACAAGGCTGCAAACCTCTGACATTTGAAATAAGTTCATCAAATGGGCACCACCTCCGGTAATAACGACCGTGACATTTGAAGTCAGCTTGTGCAGAACACACCACACTGTTCTCTCCACGTTACATCCAGTGAATCACTAAATGTCTCCAAATATGAACTTAACTAAGCTCAACTGAGCTTCTGGTTCAACAGTCACAACCTCAAACAACCCACAACCCAGTGAATCTTTCTTTTCCAATAGCACCAAACTATGCAAAAATAGAAATTACTCAGATACACCAGAAACGAAGAGATGTCAAGAAAATTAAAGTGCCAATCCAGAAAAGCACAAACTGCAAACACACACCAGAGTTTATGGATATTTATACAAAAAAATGACTTTATTTCACTGCACTGGCAAATCTGACAGCTGTTCATAAAAGTCTCTTTAAGTCTTCAAACTGTGAACAAGTGGTAAAAGAAAGTTAGAATTGTTTGAAAGCTGCTTCAGGAGCCTTTTGCAAAACCACTGCACAACCTGCACGGCACTTACTCAGTTTGTCGCTGCTGCCTGTAGGGGGCGACAGATTGGACTCAGGTTCAAGACAGGGGCTCTGAGCTGAAGGGACTGTGGGGCCGCTAACAGCCTCCTGCAGGGCACCAGCTGCAGGTACAGTCACCCCAGTAAAATAACATTACATTTAACATAGCTGAGAATTTTCTACTCGACACAAAATATATGAAGCAGCGATTATAAGAAACTAGATTAGAAATTAGGAGCTGTAGTCTGCAGTCTGGACTGGAAGCCAGTGGGTGGCAGCAAAGGACGGGAGAGGGGAACTCGTGCAGTGACGGAGAAATGGAAGCGAAGAGGTCAGAATTGTTGCTGAAGGTCTGTTGGTGAGTATCAGAGGAAAAGTTCAGGACACAAAGGTCAGAGCTGAGAGTGGAGTCAGGTAAACTGCTGCTAACTTACAGGTGGGTGGTGGGCAGCGAGGAGACAGGGTCGGGGTCTGCTCCTCAACAGTGCTGCACTGGCTTAACACTGCACTGTCTGTACTAGTGGAAACACAGACAGCAGCCACTGCCCCCGTCACAAGAAAAACACACAGACAGAGAGCGTGAGATGATCAGTCTAGAAACTCATTAGTTAACAGATCCATGATATCTGATGAATGGGTTGTTTAGATGCCAAGAAATATTACGTTCCCAGATTCAGCTTGTTTTATCAGATCAAGCTGGTGGATTCAAAATTTAACTTAAACACAAAGAAAACCAGTAAATCATCACTAGTTGAAATAACGCCCTCCATCTTCTTGTATCTAATTCTTTGACCAAATACTCCAATTAATTATTTTTCTTTTAAACGAAGCACAGAATGAATGACACTGGTGTACAGCTCAGTGAGGTGGAGACCGGCTGTAAGCAACACAAAAGTGAAGACCACAGAGATCAGACGCACCAGATTTTTAAACGTTTAAATGTAGTTTAGTTTAAAAATAGTGTTCATAAGTTGCATCATACCAGGTGGTTACAGCACAGAATCTAAATATGACTTTAACCTGCAGTAACAGTTTTTTTTAGCCACTTGGGGACAGTGGAGTAAACACAACACAGACATATGTCATTTAATAACTTATTAGTGAACAATTGTTTATTTCACCTTCACCATGAAGGTCATGTTGTCATTGGCGTCTGTTAGTTTACGCAAAAACAACAAGATCCAAGGAAAAAAATCCATAAAAATTGGTGCTCTCCAAATATTCTTCCAGTTTCCACATTTTGGATTCTTTTAAAGTCATGTTTCTGGCCACATCATAAATATAAGTTCCATAATATTCGTAAATGTCTGTTTTCTACCAACTCCTGAAAGACATCACCTGGCTCTTAAGTCACTAACTTTGTATGTCATCCGTTAAGTGCTGAGTGGGTGGTGTTCAGTGGGTTTCTTTGATGAAGCCATTTGCCTGCTGTGACCAAAACAACACCATGAGAGCGAATCAATGGAGTTCTGTGGCTGACAGCTAAACAACAAACCGAAGCTCAGTCTAAAGCTCCACAAAGAGCAGACCGGCAGATTCAAGTGATGATTCTCATCTACGACTCATTTCATCGCATTGTTTCCACATTTAAAATATTGATTAGATGTGAATTACATTTAATTTTCACTCATATCTCATTCTGCTGGTGCAACAGGCCGCAGAGAGCCTGTCGCTGCAGGGCTGCAGGTACGCAGCTGCAGACTAAGTGTCATTCTGGTCACGTTCCTCTGTAACTAACAACATGTCGACCCAGTGCTTCATCTCAGAGACTCTGACTGTGAAACACGGAGGAGCTGATGCGTCCTCGTAGTGTCTGAGTTTGTCTTTCAGAGAAGACAAACATCATATTCATAGAACTTTCCTCCAAACCAACTTGAACTAAATGTATTCAGCCTCAGAGGGAGACAGAGGAGAGAGCGGCCTCTGGATTGCAGGTCACTCTGAGACTGAGTGCCGGTAAACCCACGGAAAGCTGCTCAAGTAGCTAGATTAACTCTTTTCTGGAAAGCTGCAGGTAGCGCTGTCCTACTTCATTCACCTGAAAACTTTCAGGCATCATCCTCTGAGCAGACGGCTAATTAAAGGCTTAAGTGGAGTGGGGCATTAATGCTGGCATGTGTGCACGCGCTCACGCACACCGCCAATCTAAATAGAGGCAAAGGTGCCCGCACATGGTCGACTACAGTGAGCGCCAGAGGAGTTAATGAGCCTTTGGATGTAAATACTGTAAGAGCAGCGCGTCTTTGCTCTGGAGTTACTGTCAAACAAATGCTGCTTAGTTTCAAACACAAAACTGTCAGTACACTGTTTTTAGTTTTTACAGTGGACAGCAGCAGCTCTGTATTTGTCCTTATACGTGTACAGGGTTTACATCACAGTCAACTTTCCTCACAGGCTTCTCTCATCTGAACGGATTAACTTCCTGGACACACACATTTACTTAAAGGTAGGGTTGGTAAAAAAAGAAAAACTCTTAAAATGTTGTAAGCTGTGAAAAGTTGCCCCAAAGTCAAAGTCAGTAAGTTTTGTGAGGGTTGGATTTTAGTTGTGTAGCCTGATCTTGCAGCTTTTCCAGTATTACCAACCATGTCTTTATGCAAAAGTAAACATACACATAAGTACACGTAAAAAGACAACATTATCTTTTTATCTTGAGTAAAAGTACTTGCGTTAAAATATACTTAAGGTATAAAGTTTGTTTGTATTTTGTTTAAATTGTACATATTTATTCTCTTTAATAGTTTCTTGGGTTTATATTTTTTACTTTACTGAGTGTGTATTTCAATGATCCACTGTAACATGGTAAGTCTTATCCTGTCAAGAGTAAAAATACTATTCCCTATTGCAACAGTCTGCTAATGTGCGTACTGTGTATTTTGGTTAATACAAGAATAATACAGACTTATTCATATTATTGTCATATTAATCAAGTGCTGAGTCTCTTCTCAACACATTTCATCTGCTGCTGCAGGAGGCGGGGTCTTAAGTTGACAGCTGTTGCAGAGTAAAAGTAAAAAGTACCTTAAAAACGAATCTATTTAAGAAAAGAACAGATGTATGAAAAGTAAATGCACTTTGGTACCTTTCCCCAGCAAACATGCTTTACCTCCGATTTAAAGTGAAGAAATACACAAGGAGATTCATCAGAATGTTTATTTGTCTGTCCTGTAGATGTAAAGTGAACCATGCAGAGAAGGTGAAAGTTGGACAAGTACCTTTCCTACCTTTCATGTCCTCCTCTTCTGTGTTATTACAGCTCTCTGTGGAGCCCTGTCAAAGAGAGAGGTCCAGACAAAAGAGAGGCAGACAGAGGAGTGGGGGGAAGGAAGAAAGACGAGAGACAAAGAGAGACAGCGAGACAAATCATTCTTTTAATGTGTCAGTGAGATGGGATCAGGGGACGGCTTGGACACTCTGCCCACATGGACACAGAGACACACTGACGGACAGATGGACGGGTGGACAACTCCCTCCCAGGAGCACAAACCAGCCAGGACAGCAGCGAGGGGAAGCACTGCGAGCCACGCACGTCAAAAGAGTGTGAGCGAGCTGAACAGCTGCCGCTAATTTTAACACTAGTGTGTGTGTGTGTGTGTGTGTCAAAGGTTTATAAGAGTGTTAGCATGTCAATATATAGTGATGTACACATGGCACTGCAAATAAAGAGGTTCGAGCTGCTTCCAGGTTTAGGAACAAACCTGATGTGAGTGTTTGAGGACAAAGAGCACGAGCTGCTGTGAGAGACTGTGCAGGATTTTCTCTTTTAGATCTGTTTGAAATGCTGTTTGGATCCTGGAGGAAACCACCAGAGTAAATATACACTTTGACTGATCGACTCAAATCTATTCACACTCAGCCGTAGCATTTTCTAGTGAGTTAATTTAAACAGATAATTAAACATCACTAAATAAGCTGAAAAATACATGTTTTTCTAAATCAATCTAACCTTGCTAACATTTGAAGATTTATTAAATGTTTATTATAATTCATTGTCCACCTTTTAATCTTCAGGGTAAAAAAGGGATGTTGACTTACTGTTTAAAACGTTATTTAGGTACTACATTGTTTAGGTTTATGAAATGAGGATCCGTATATTTTAACAAAGTAGATTTGCAAAAACAAATTATGTAATAATTTACATTTTGAATTTTAGTTTGTCCCCCAATTTATGTTTCCTGGATAAGCAGTAGGCAAACGCTCACTTAACTTTCTCTCAGGTCCAGCCCACATGAGATCTGATTGGCCAAATCAAACAAGAGTTAATTGTTGGTTAATTAACCTGGTCCCACTCGCCAACTCCTGCATTCAAATATTAAACCATTTTTTAGGGACAATGAAGAAGAACAATTATTAATTGTTTTTAATCTTCAAGTTTAATCATATATAATTTAGAGAATTCAAGTCAGGAGGAGGAATATTTGTCTTTCTTTTTTTTTGGACAGTGATGTATGAAGTAATATTCAGAGAAAATCCTCCACGTGTTACCTGCGAGTGTTAGTAGTGGTGGCTGGTGGCTAGTGGCGGCAGGAGGAGCGGCTTACCTTGGTGCCGTCAGCTGGGTTGTGTACGACAGTTGTCTGGGCTTCCTGGGGGGAGGTAGGAGACACTTTACCATGCAGGGATGGATGGAATAAGGGGAAAGGGTGGATGGGATTCACCAGAGAAGATGCCACGGAATATCAATGTATTCCGTGATGACAAACACAGACACATAATCTCGCAATAATAATCTGAAGCTGTTGATCATTTGTGGTGAGTGAATAGATGACGTTCAGCGTCCTGTCGTCTACAGGATTATTTTAAAGCCTCCAAAACACACAAACAGCCATGAACACAAATATTCACCTGCCAGGGTCACGACTGAGGAGGAGGAGGGTCCTGTGAGTGAGTGTATGTTTATTACAGAGCGAGTGCTGGTGCAATAAAATGTTCATGTCACCTGGACATTATTGTATTTACCAGGTTCAACATGTAAATGCAGTTTGTTTCAACAAGTTTCAACTAGAGCCTGACTGAGTTTAGGATTGATATGAAAAGTTATTCAACAGAATAAACAATGCAGGAAAGATTCATTTTTGTTTACATTTGACTTCGCAGAATTTTCTTAACCTAATTTTGGCCTCGGAGTCGATCCTCAAACTGCTATTTCAGTCAGGCTCTAGTTTCAACTGTGGATTTCTGATATATAAATGACTACAGAGGTAAAAAATAAATACTGAAGAATAAATGAACTTGTGTAGCAAAAAGTTTGTTCAATTTTTCCACAGACAATAACTTCTACAATCAGATTTGTTTTTAAGATGCTATGATCACAATCGAAATCTGATCAAAGTGGTTTAACTGTGCGTTCACGTGCTCCTCGGGTCCAATTTCCTGAATTGTGAAGTCAAAATGTGGAAAAACACAAACGCTTCAAACACAAAGAGGATGCAGGATTTTTTGTGTTTACCATGACACCTCTTTCTAATATTATTTAAAACGTTAATCCTAAAATTGTCTGTAATGGATAAAAAAGTGGTGTTTGGTGCTCATGAGAGATGGATGACAAAAGAATTGAGGAGGCAGTCTTGTGAATTTTTACAGTCAAGAACAATTTTGGGGATTATTCCATCACTGCTCTCCATTAGTCAATGCACAGTTTAGTGAATGACACCAAGCTCATGTCTGAAAACTTGAGCGTTTCAACCATGTGCATCTCAACCTTCCACCCTGGTGTATATACCACATTAGTGAATGTGATGTGGAGCCGCTCCTCATCCTCAGTCGTGACCCTTCCACACAAACATTCAGCAATAAGCAATTCAACATCTCTGAGTACGCCACAGTTATGGTGGTTAGGTCACACAGTCCCAATCCCGACCGACACCGAAACCAAGACCCAGGAACCTGAGAGCATGCAGCCCCTTTAACTACATGTTGGAATGTGGGGAATTAAAAAGTATTAAAACATGTTTTGGGTATTTTAAGCCTTAATTGTAAAGATGCTGCAGCGACCAAAGTGATCTAAGGATTCACTTAATGGTGAAAAGTAAAGTTTCTTGGTGTGTGCTGCATGTTTGGAGAAAGACTTGTTCAGGCTCTATTGTACTATGTTGCATACATGGCTCCATTCCACAACATATACAACAACAGGGGCTGCATCCTCATACAATTCTGATGTTTCTATCACACGTCCACGCCAGCTCCTGTTTTACCCAGAACTCCTCATCGTTTACGGTTCACATACCGAAGAGCAATATGGTAAAAATAACCTGAACCCGTCTTTTGATGTAGCAAGACGTTCAAGGTTTGTGTTTTCGAGCTCTGCTTTCCAAGAAATTGCAATAACCCCGTCTGACTTCAAAAGCAAAGCACCGGAGCTCAGGTGATACACAAAGGAGTCACCAGAGCTTGATTGAAGCGTCTGCTGTTGTGCTTCGAAATGAAAGTCATTTGTCTTCCTGTTGATGTTGTGCACTGTGGATATATATATATATATATATATATCTCCATATATATATATCTCCACAGGAGGTCTGGGTAGAACACGAGCCAGGGGAGACGCTCGAAAGAGAAGAAAACACAGCTGTTTAATTTTAAAGTTGTCAAATTCACCAGCAACATCACAACAATCTGTGTTCACGACAGAAGCTGAGAGGATGAGGGACAGAGTCGATTTTACTCAACGTGGGATGTGACAGAAAGATGAGAACTAAACATTAAGAAGATGGAAACAATGATGTGGTGCCGGGAAAAGCAACGTGAGAGAAACCAAATAGAGATGGGGTACCATTGGTGCTGAAGATGACATGCTGCTGTCTTTGGTGCTGCTGCTGCTTACTACACTGTTTTTACTGCTGTTTCCCTGCGACTGGGGCAAAGAAACACAACACAGAATGACTCCTACTGCTCCAGCTGGGCCTTAACCTAAAAACCACAGGAGCAGGGCCGTTAAATGGCCGATATCACTATTCCACATATTGTAGGATAGTTAAGTTTTAAAGCTACGTAATCCAGGAGTGGGACGTTTGATGCTGAACAGATTTATCTGATTATCTGTATCAGTCATCTGCACCTTACTGCCTCGTACATTTCACAGCGGCTGTTGATCTGTTGATGTTTAACATGACCTCTCTCTCTTGATCATCAGGAGCAGATTAAACATCTTGCATCATGTCCCTCCCGTGTTTAACTGACGTGTAGATTTTGTCTCCATTATAAACCTGTGTATTCATTGACTGACGAGCTTTTTGAGTCTAGCATCCTTTTCTCACTCCTGCGTTCAACGACTACAACTTCCGCAGACACTGCGCGACAAAATAAAACATACAGATCAGTCAACACATGCATTTCAAATATAAATATTACAAATTTAAATCTAAAACAAGTTCCCCATTTTTGGGCACAACAAAAATGTATGTAAGGGATTAAGAAAACGTTTTTTAAATATAGACACCAGTCCAGGTCTGTGCATGCAGTGAGAGGCCTTGAGTTTGTTCTTGTTGAGCGTGTGCGTGCATGAAGGCGTGTAGTATTTGTATTTAATGACTCAACCCATTTTTCTTTTTCCAGATAGAAATGATCCTCCATAGATTTGACATATAACAACATATAATAACACTTTTCATTTCCAAATTGAGTATTAGGGGAATTAGTAACAATGATTTGGATGCTCTGTTGCTCAGAAGTAG